TCACGGCAGGGGCTGCAGACCAGCCCTAATTGCAACGAAGAGGATTTCCTGCAAGAAATCGCTGCGAGTGGAAGCACTCGAAGCCAGCAGAGCTGATCTAGCAGCAGGATCAAGGAAGTTCCACAGCGTAATCGTCACACGCACTTTGCACACGGCTCCCGATGCAAAGACGCAATCAAAACTAAGATCGCTGAAGTGAGAGCTCGCTGAGGTACTTGCCAGAGACGCGGAGGACTCACTGCCCTCGTAGTCCATGTAGCGACCCGCCCCACTCGCTAGAAGCACCAGATTAGCACCCAGGGCCTTTTAGAAAGATCCTAGACGTGTCTACCGGGTGGCCTGCCACACCTACCAGTGCTCACTCCCCTTGCAGCGAGAGCAAGCCCTCAAGCCACTATTCCGTCGGGGGAACCCTGGCAACGGTGTGCGGCACCACAGCAGAAGGATCTCGAGGCTCAGACAAAAATTTTTCCGACTTGATTCGGAAAAGCTGCAAGTTGCCATCATCATAACATGTTGAAGTGATGTTGTCGCAACAAGCATGCGTAAAAGTGTTGGTTTCAAAACACAGGTTGCCAGAGAAGGGGGGAAACAAAAGGAAAAACTCCCGTTTTTCCTTTCAAACAAAATTTGGAAATAAAACCCTGTCAATCACGATTGAAGGGTGGCATGCTCTGAGGTACCACTGGAAATATCACTTGTGCACTCAGCTCGCTGAAGGTTCGCATGAAGAAAAGCAGTGGTGATTTGCTCGGCTGTCGGGCCGTCCACTGCCTGCACCACATCGTCGATGCACATGTCATCGTGTTCGTCGTCGTCTCCTGTGGGATGGCCAAGGCCTTCCCGCTTCAGCTGATTGTAATCTTCTGGATTCTGTGCCCACGTTGGCAAAATGCCAAAGGAGCCCTCGCAGAACCAAAGCATGCTAGGCATCACACCCCTAGCCAGCATGCAGTGAAGATCACTTTCCGCCTTGCGCAGGCGGCGCTCTCTGTAGTTCACGATAAAGTCTGCCAACCTGTAAATGGCTTGCATGTCCCCATTTCCACCTGAGAGGTGGCCCCTGACATGTTTGGCATTCACTTTGGAGACTTCAAAGGGCACGAGAGGTAGGCTCGGGCCGCTGCTGCATTCGAGGTGGGCCGCCATGACCCGAAGCTTCTTTCTGATATGATATTCGTAGGTGGACATGCCACCTGAAGAAGGAGCCATGGCTGGATCCCTCCCGGCCGCCAGCAATCTTAGCCGCCACTACCCTGGCGTTGCCCGCTTTGGAGCGCTTGGAGCTACTTGCTGAAGCCAAAGCTCTGTAATGCGAACTCTTTTTGAACTCTTTGGGTCGTCACTGGTCAGGCTGAGTCAGCCTCGTGTGCCGAGGCCTCCTTGGGCCCGAAGAGTGGTACTAAGTCGCAGTTTGTACAAGCCGTGAGAGAACAGCTACCTCAAGACATGTCGGCATGAACATGAGACTGAACAAAAAGTCATGCCAACATCACTCTAGCTAGGTTTGTTGAGCTAGAGAATGTTTCAAAGAGTTCGTGAACTACGTAGTCGGAAGCAACAGCAGACTGCCAGTGCCACTACAGAAGGAGCGAGACTACAAGCAGGCTCAAGCACTCAAACTGTACACAGTGTTTCAGAGGAGCTCGTGGTGGCACTCAGTTCACCTCGCCAGCGGCCGCCGCTCCAGCAGCCACCGAGTCAGCAGCCACTGCGCCAGCAGCCACCGCGCCCGAAGAAGCGGCCCCAGCAGCCGCCGCCCCATCAGCAGCTGCGTCGTCGTCATCGTGTTGCCCATTTTGGGGTCTTGCAAGGCGTCGTTGCTCACACCACTGGCTGTAGGCTTGGCCAACGAGTGCTGAGAGGTGGATCGCCTGGGTACTCCAAGCAATGGCTTCGCGTCGTCGTCTATGCCAAGTGGCACGGGCAGAGTTGAGATGCCGTTGATGCATCACTGCACGCGCAGCGGCATCGGCTTTGTCATTGAGCAGTCTGCAGAAGTCAACTGGCAAGGGAAAGTCTGGCGTCCAAGTGGCTTGACGTCCATGTGCGGGCATCCATCGCAGATTCAATTTTAAACCGCATCTGGTGGAAGTTTCAAGATGTGTGGCGATTTGTTGCACGAGCAGCTGAAGGGTCGCACACGACCGCGACTTAAGTGCAGCAAGCGCGGCTTGACAGTCCACCAAGACGTACACTTCGCCTCGTGCCCCAGCCAAGGCAGCTACAACGCACGTCTGGGCTAACTCACGGAGGGCCAGAAGCTCGGCACGGTAACTGGACTGGTCTTCGTCGTCGTCGCCAAAAGCAAAAGTCGAGAAACGACCAGCCTGGTGAAGAACGATTGCAGAGCCAGCCACGTCTTCAAGGTGCGAGCCGTCGGTGGCGATGCATGGTTGAGCCTTCTGGTCTGCCGCCAGAAGATTGCGAATAGCATCGGCAAGCTGTGCATGCTGCAAGGGCACTGGCTTAGGCGCAGCAGGGAAAGTCTCAAGCGGAGGGGCAAAGAGCCTTTCAGAGGCGCGATCAGACGGAGGAACGACCGGGTTGGTCTCGCGCAATGTGCTTAGGCCCGGGCAGCACCACGTGAGGTGCGCTCTCGACGGTTCAAGCTTATCGCACATGCACACTTTATCTGCATCAGTTGGTGTTGGGCGGTGGGACCCGCAGTGCGTGTGCCAAAAACTGGCTCCAGCTGCAACTGCGGCACGTTTTTGCGCAAGATTTTCGGGATTAAGAAAGATTTTTCTATGCGCGGCAAAACAAAACCAGGCCTGTCTAGGGGGCTTAGGGAGACTAAAACCCGAAGCGGCATTAGGGTCAACCCTGTGGTGCGAAGCTTTAATGCGACCGGCATTGTGCACGCCCTGTCGCACGTATTCTTCCTCCAGCCACTGGCGCAGGACCTTCAAGGAAGAGAATCCAAAGCGAAAAACTCGACGGCACCCGTTGCTATCGGTTTTGGCAAGGCCCTCGCCATGAGGAAGGATGGTCCACTTGTGTTTTCGGACCGCCTCAGCCGCCACCGGAAACAGATCCGACCACGGATCGACGGCCTCCCGGAGTGGCACATCATCAAGCCAAGAAGGTCGCTGTGCAACGAAGGACTGGACACGACGAAGGGCTGTGTAATCTTGCATGACAAAGGGGTCTGTGTTCCATCCCATCATGCAGTGCTGCAAGAAGTACGGCACCTCGGGAGTGAAGCTTCTGCGAAATGCAGCAAGGACCTCAGACCTGATGGTGGAGAGAACGGCATCGCCCGGGGAAGCAACGCCAGCACACCAAAAGACAGCCGAAAACCCCAAAGTCCACATGAGTTGAGTTTTTCGGTGGATGGGCACAGGAAGGTATTTGATGAAGCGGAGGCGCCACAGCACACGATCTAGCACCAACCTGAGCGGCTTGGGGGTGCTTCCCGACAAGTCGATTTCGACGCCTAAAATTTCAAGCGAAGTTTTCTGCATGTAGCCCTGCCGTTCCGCCAAGTCCTGAAGGGAAGTGTCGCCAGGAGCTGCAATGACAGAGCATTTGGTGGGTTCGCACACTAAGTAGAAAGCTCTGTCGAACCTGGTGGATCGTTCCACCGCCTGCCCAATGGCTCGGGCAGGGTTGGCACTCTGCTCCGGCCAAAGAAGCCTGTCATCCACATACATAAGGCCTCGGATTGGGCCTTGTATGACGTAAGAGCTCCAAGCCACGCTGACAGCCAACGCCAATAAAGGACTTAGTGGGTCCCCCTGTACCAAGCCTCGTGAGACAGGAGTCCAGGCTGCGGCCGCAAATCCGCCTGCAACGAAGAGCCGCTCGGCACCCGAGTAGACGCTATTCAAGATGTGTTCCAAGCAGCTGGGTGCACCGAGCCGTCTGAGGATCGGGATTACGGCGTTAAGTTGAAGATGATCAAAAAAGCCTTTTAAATCTTGCACGACAAAAGAATTTACTTGCCTTTTTAGGGCTGAAGCAATTCGAAGGTGTGCGTCTGCGGTTGAGAATCCCGGAGCCCCGCCGAAGGCACTCGGGCTGACCCAGGAGAGGATCCATTTTCTTAAACGTTTGCAAAGACATTTTGCGCCGATGCGCCAAGCAACCTGGAGAAGCCCGATCGGGCGTGTTGACGTTACCCGTTTGGGTAACAATGCCACGAGGCCGCGGCGCCATTGCATCGGCGTCTGGGCTCCCTGCAGGATGGAGTTCCAAAGGCGTGTGAACTGGGCCCACCAGGGCATGGGTAATTCAAGCAGATGATCAGACTTCCACGCGTCTGGCCCCGCCGCTTTGCCTTTCATTTGTTTTGCGACTGCAATCAGTTCCTCCGGTTCAAAAGAAAATTCGCCAGGAAATTCATTTGAAAAAGGGGTCCTTTTTGGCACTGTTTCAAGGATGCTTTGCATGGTAGGGGTGGTGAAGTTTAAGCCTGCTGGCGCAGTCCACAGTTCTGCCCACGCCTTGCCATGTTGCTGCAAGATGGAAGTCGGATGTATCGCCGAGATGGCTTTGCTGACCTCCGGTGGCGCGGCGGCCGCATCACAAGCCTGCTGGGCGCGGGCTTTAACCCAAGCGATTTGCTTGTTGGGCTGCACCTGAAGTCGCTGCCTCCACTGAGCCATGGCAGCGGAGCGTTCCTGTGCCACGTAAGCCTCCAGCAGTTCGTTAACGCTGGGCAAAGCCGTTTCCTCATGACCCTCTGGGAGCGAAGGGAGGTCCGGCACGCTCAAGCGAACTCCTTGCAAAGATGATTTTACCTTCTTGCGGAGGCTCAAGTTAGAGGGGTCGCGTCGCAACTCCTGCAACCGGTGACTTAAGCGCCTTAAATGTAAAGCTCCAAGGTTCTGAATCGGGGCAGCCCTCACCTCTCCTGACGAGGCACATGTGTTGGCCCGAATTCGGCAAAAGCGCCGACGAGCTGTGGAGGTCCGCGGGGAGCGGGCTTTTCCGTCTTGGCTTCTAAATTGGTAGCGGAGCGGCTAGCGCTCCTAGGTCTTAGTTTTGGGTGAGCCATGTCGACCGGTGGTCCTACTAGTTTTTACGATGTTCCGCGACCTGATGCCGATTCCCCGCCCCAACACCAAGATGGCGATGACTGTAGAGTAGGCGGTGGCGATCAAGGGGATGTTCCTCGTGACGATCACAGTGGTAGGCAACAGCAGTGGACTCAAGACCAGTCTTGGGAACAGTGGAATGGCGGAGACTGGGGATCCAGTCAATGGGGCCATTCGTGGGGAAAAGCCGAGCGCGCTTGGGACGGAGCCGACTGGGCTCGTAGATCCTACCGCGGCTACGGCTATGAGCAGCACTGGGGCGACAGGCCCACATGGGGGTCAGCTTCGACCGGATCTGGGTCCGCAGACTGCGGAGCTCCAGATCGTGATTCAAAGGACTCTGCCTCCACAGGACAATGGGGCGGACACGCGTCTGGTGGAGATGGCCGCTACTACCAGGAGAACAACCTCCCGGATGGATGGGGCCCTTCTACGGACGCTCAAGGCAGAGGGTTCAAAGGGCAACGTTCGGAAGGCACCCGAGGACCTTCAGAGAAGATGATTGTTCCCTCCTTCTCTGGAACAACAGGGGACAGCGGCGACGACATTGGGACTTCCGCGAGGTCCTACTTGAGACAAGTGTCGGCGTGGAGGCGGATGACACGAATGAGTGAAGATCAACAAGGCCTCACTTTGTACCAGCACCTGACAGATCGGGCGTGGATCGACGCCGAGAGGTTGGACGTCGACCGACTAGCTTCTCGTGACGGTGTAGATTACCTTTTGGCTTGGGTGAAGGACCGCTACTTGGACGTTCAGGTTCGGGCGTAGTCTATCGGGGTTCTTCAGGGGCATGCACCGCAAAGGAACCCAGACCGTGCGCGACTACATGGCGGAGTTCGACAGGGCCCTAGCAAGGTTGACCGAGGTAGGATGTCATCTTCCTGATGTGGCAGCTGCGTGGGTGTTTGTGGATAGAATGGGTTTGGAAGAGCAAGCTGAATTGAACTTGTTGGCCTCAGTGGGAAACCAGTACAGCCTCAAAGCTCTCCAACAAGCGGCTATCGTGCATGACAGAGGTCTTCGCAAACCATGGGAAAACCAATCCCGTCATCCTCGCAAGGACTGGAATGCATCCAAGAAGCCCCACTCCGCGAACATGGCAGGCCACGAGGACTACGAGCTCTACGACGTCGAGGAAGAGCACGAAGAGAGCCATGAGGACGATATGCCAGTGCCTGAAGAAGTAGCCCAGGAGCTTTATCAAGCTTTCATGACGCATGCAAGCGCAAAGCAGAAGTACCGGGAAAGCGCTAAGCTACGTGGCAGTGATCCAGATAGCCTACGTCAACTTGCAAGTGAAAAGCTCAAGGCGGCTAAAGCAAAATCCTTCTGCTCAGGCTGCAAACGCAGAGGGCACTGGCACAAGGATGCTGTTTGCCCCCTCAATCGTGGTGCAAATCAGGCCGCCCCACCAGGATCCACCGGGGCAACTCCTGGTACCACCGTTGGGGGCACCAAGGACTCAGTGAAGCCAAGTTTTCCTTGTCACGTCGTGCACGTGACTTGGGAGATCAGCCAGAGTGCAGGTCAAGATTTCCTCGCAATCACCGACACAGCGTGCTCAAGGTCTGTGGCAGGAGCAGGCTGGATCGACTCGTACATCTCAGAAGCGAAGAAGAAGGGCTGCGAACCGGCCTTCGTCGCCTGCAAGGAGGCTTTTCGCTTCGGCGCCTCCAAGATCTTCGTTGCTTCGTATGCGGTGGTACTGTGCTTTCAGCTTGGCCTCTGCAAAGTTGCTCTGAAGGTTGCCGTAGTGAATGGTGAGGTACCCCTCCTGGTGTCTCGAAGTGCACTTGGAAAGATGGGTCTCGTTATGGACATCGAGGCCAACACGGCCACCTTCAAGAGGCTGGGCGTGACCGATATGATCCTCTCCATCACCGAGACAGGACACCCGGCTTTTGTAGTGAAGCCTACCGTTTTCCCGGCTGCCGCAGAAGCAGACTGCAGCTGGGATTCTACTGAGATCAAGATCTTCTCGTGCGATGAGCAATACATGGTCATGCCAGATCAGGGGAGGGACCAGGGTTTACACTTCGAGGAGTTGGGCTTCGAGAAGGGTTCCGGTGAAGATTTGCAGTGTTCTACTAGTTGGATGGTCAGTTTGCGGGAGGATTCAGAACCACACGACGAAGGCGGCTCAGTTTCTTCTACATGCTCCCAAGGTACCCCGAGCTCCTACGACAGTATATTCTACCCTAAGAAGATCGGTCGAGCTACCAAGAACCTCCTTCTCGATGCGTCCTTCAACCCCGAAACTTTCGCCTCTTGGTGGTCATCTACTTCGATTTCTAACGACTTTTGGGTTGAGAATGAAGAGTTCCTTGTGAGAGTGCATGTTATTCCGCGAAGATCGTTCTTTAGCCCTACGCACTGGAGAACCTCAAACCTCTCCCGCAAGCACCTCCTTCTCACAACCCTCGGAGCTGTACGGTCCACTAATGCGATCTCGTGCAAGTCACACCGTGAGTTTGCTCCTGTGCACGGAACTTGGGAGAGTGATGATGACGACTCAACAATGCCGATGCTTTGGGTTGGCAGAACAGTCTTTCGTAGACGCAACCTGATGTCTTCGATTGCCCCTCGCTCTCCTTCGGTTCTCGATGGCCAGCAAGAGCGACCTCCTCACGGCGCCGACGGTCAGCCGGCCCAAGACCCTCTCAGAGTTCACGAAAGCGGAGTTGATCACCGAGGCACGCGCGAGGAACCTATGGTTCCACGAGAGCTGGACAGCCGTCGAGATCAAGTCGTTGATCCAAGAAGACAGGAAGAACCCTTCCGCGAACCACCCTGCGAACACGGGGATGTCCAACATGACGGTGGACCAGCTCAAGGAGAAGGCAATGGTGCAGGGCTATCATCTCCCTCCTCACGCGACCAAGGGCACGATCATGAGGATCCTGCGAGACCAGGGCGGCATGAGCGGGGAGAGCATTCTCGGCTTTGGCCGGTTCCGCGGGAATCGCTACAAGGACACTCCGGAAAGCTACAGGACGTGGGCGATTCGAGAGGTGACTACCCACGACAATCCATCGGAGGACCTGGTGATGTTCGCAAATTGGTGGCAGGGAGAACTCCATCGTTGGAGGGACTCCCCCGCGACGAAGACGAGCCCCTCGACGGCGGCCGGCTACCTGGACCCCGAGGAGCACGCGATGATCCCGTATGTGGACGAGGCCTCCTCCACGGCATCGTGGGATGTGCTCACCCGCGAGGCCCTCGCACATCCGACTCCGAAGTCCAAGGCACCATCGACGGGAGCGGGGCAACAGCCCAAGACACCGCCGCGCAGGCGCACGGCAGAGGACACCCCGGTGCCGACTCCTGTTCGGATGGATCAAGAAGTGCCGGGCGAGATCGAGGACGAGGTCAAGTATCTGGAGGCGAGGCTCGCGGTCTTGAAGGACCGACATGGAATGCCACCCCACCCGGGGAATTGAGAGGAGAATGGAAGGAGCTGGCCGAGGACTACGATGAGGACTACGACGAGATCTACTTTGAGTGCGATGATGAAAAGGTCGAGTTCCTCCGGGCGCTTGCTCAAAGCAAGCCTGAGTCCACCGAAGACAGCTTCTTGGAGGCCGAGCCGGAGGACGAGGACGACTTCATCCGGGAGTACCTCAACCCCCACGTGGACGGCGAGCACAAGGAGCATCGCGGCGACGAGCACCTCGATATGAACTCTGGCGGCAATGGGGATGTAATCCTATGTGAGCCCTCCGGAGCGTACCACACTCTCCCTCTCAAACTACAACAACAAGATGAACTGTGTGAAGTTGTTGCCCGTGACAAGTTCAAGAACAAAGAGTTCGGCTACGAGGACCTTCTTCAGGTGGTGAAGAGCATCCCACTCACACGTCTACGACGTGGAAAAGGAACTCAGAGAGCCGGCGACCAATGCTTCGAGTACTTCTTGGGAGGCATGTACACTCATGGTTCCATGAAGGGCCTCTCCCGTCGCTCCCGAGCTTTGCCGTGGACTACCAAGTACATCAACATGTTCCTCAAGACTAAGTATGACGGCCGGTGGACTTCCTTTGTGATCTTCCGCAATGCCGCTACTGAAGTCCATACCGACTCCCACAACCTGCGGGACACTCCGGTTGCCACCGTGTCCTTCGGGAACTTCAAGGGAGGAAAACTGTGGATCGAGGAGACTGACAAAGGCAAGGACGACCCCAACACGGTGATCCGAAGAGACAACAAGGGGCGCGAGCTCTACGGCAAGACGGTGTCCACCAAGGAGCAGCTGTACATCTTCGACGGCAAGTCCAAACACGCCACCGAGCCATGGGAAGGAGAGAGGTGGACTTTGTCTTGTTACACCACCCGAGGGTACGTCGACTCGGACAGTGGCCTCCGTGACGAACTTCGAGAACTACGTTTTCCTTTGCGCGGCCTACCACTACGCGACGGAGACCATGGAGGAGAAAAGAAGACTTTTAGGCCCTGCAAGAGCGTCAGGAAGGCCCTTTGGAAAAAGGCTGGACGACTGGCTGCACTCACCACATGGTGCACTTCGGCAGCTACCTCGAGCCTACTCGCGGAGTACCCCCTTGGAAGGGGGGTCGAGGCGGTGAGTTTGTACGAGATTGGCGGCTACGACAAGACGCTTGAGGTGACCAATATGGAGTATTTGGCCGCCGAACCCTTCGCCTACGAGCCGAACGACCTTGCGGATGCGGATGTGGAGACGGTGCACAGAACCCTCGAGGCCTTTACCCCGGCTGTGGTTTGGGTCCACGGTAAGGAGTCCTTGGGATTTCTTGAGAAGATTTATGGATCTCTTTGCAGTCATGTCGAACAAGGACACCAATTGGCTTTGGAAGCTCTCCCTGATGATCCATGTTGGGAAAATCCGTACATCCAGAGCCTCCTTGAAAGGTTCGAAGGACGATGTCATCGCAGAGAAGCTGAACCGCATGTTCTCCGCATCAACGATGTTCTGCAGAACTACAGCGATACTAGGCTCGACAGCGAAAAGGACTCCGGCCAGACCCTGGTGCAGTACATGGCCCAACATGATGCACAACCCCCTCCAGAACAACCCAGCTCGTCCACAGCTTCAGGGGCTTCCTCTATTTCGTTCGAAGGCGACAAGGAGATTGCGAGCGAAGTGAAGATTTCTTTGAGAAGGCTCCACCAAAACATGGGGCACCCCAACAACTTGGATCTGGCCAGGCATTTGCGCCTCGCTGGAGCAGATCCCTCCGTGGTCGATGCCTGTAAGAAGATGAGATGTCAGGTCTGTGAGCGAGCTCGGCGGGGGCGTTCGGCCAAGCCAGCCTCGCTTCCAAACCTCCTGGAGTTCAATCAAGTGGTTGCAGTAGATGCCTTCTACGTGTACGCGTCCGACAAGAGGAAGGTCGAGCTCATGATGGCCATCGACGTGGGCACCGGCTTTGTCGCTGCGGGACTTCTTCAAGGACACGGTACAAGCACCATGGAAGCTTCGTTTTGCTCAATTTGGAGCAACACCTTTGGGGCCCCCGGGACTTTGGTGATCGACCTGGAGTCTGGACTTCAAGCTGGTCTCGGAAAATACAGTGAGTGGCATGGGACTCACCTGCGCCCTATCGCGGGGCAGGCTCACTGGCAGAATGGCACTGTTGAGAGAGCCATCCGAACCTGGAAGGAGATCTGGTCGCGTGTGGTGGATGAAACTTCAGCCACCCATCCGGAGGCCAACATGGTCATCACTTCGGTCAACGCAGCTATGAACACTTTGAGGCGCGAAAGCGGCTTCAGCCCATCCCAAGCCGTATGGGGGAGAGATCCCAAACTTCCAGAGGATATCACTGGCGGGCCACACGATGAACATGTGGAGCACATCCTCTCCCACGACCGACTGCGAGCACGAGAACATACCTTGAGGGTGGCAGCTAAAAGTTCGTATTTCAGGTGCCAGAACGATGCGAGACTGAGGAGAAGTTTGTTGCAGAGATCACGTGTAGCAGGACCGGACTTGGGTGTCGGAGCCCACATCTTCTTCTACCGCAAGCCCAAGAACAACAAGAACTGGGAGTGGCACGGTCCTGCAGTTGTGATTGGACACGAGGGACCGAACACCTGGGTGTCTTTCACCGGACGTTGTCACTTGGTGGCGCCCGAACACATCCGAATCGCAAGTTCGGAAGAGTTGGGGTCGGCATTCACTATGCGTTCCACTCAACGTGATCTACAACTTCTACTGGAACGAGATTTCAGCGAGGAGGCCACCTACGAGGAAGGCGACGTCGAGATGGAGGAGGACCCCGAGCTTCCACCCGGAGATGGAGACCTACCTGAACCTCCTGGGGGAGGACGAAGACGCGAAGGACCCGAGGCATCAGCTCGAGTGGTTAAGAGACATCGCGTCAAAGGACCCCAAGCTCAAGATGGCGACCCTCCGGCCGTCAATGAGGCGATGATGATGAAGCTTCCCAAGACTCCTCGAGCTCGCGAAAAGGCCCTAGAAAAGGAGATACCATGGCGACTCATCCCTGCAGAACAACATTCTGCCTTCAAGGAGGCGGAACAGAAACAGTGGAGAGAACATGTTCAACACGGAGCTCTAGAAGCCCTGTCGGTGAGCCAAAGCCGACAGGTACTGGCCACCAAGCCGGACCGCATCCTGGGAAGTCGCTTCGCGTACAAGGACAAGCTGTGGTGTCAACGTAAAGGGAATCCCTCCCTCGGATGGAAGCCCAAAGCTCGACTCGTCATTCACGGCCACCGTGACCCAGACCTTTCAAAAGGGCTTCCTACTCACGCGCCCACAATCTCGAGGCAGGGAATACACCTTCTACTCCAGATATTGGCATCGAACCTGAGGAAGGGGTGGCGTGGCTTTGCTGGAGATGTGACGGCTGCGTTCCTTTGTGGAGAAGAGCTACGACGCGAACTTTACCTACGTCAGCCCGCCACTGGACTTGGAGACCTACATCCAGAGCAACTCCTACGCATCCGCAAGCCGTTCTTTGGTCTGGTCGACTCGCCCTCTGCGTGGTGGACGAAGTTCTACGAGACTGTGGGTGACATGAAGATCACCGACGGTAAGAAGAACTGGAAGATTGTGCAAAGTTCCCTTGATCATTGCATTTTTATGGTGCAAGAAGTCCTAGTTGATGATGAGACCGGGAAGGAGACGCTGGCCCCTCCCCAAGCCGCCCAAGCCTACCTCGGAGTGCATGTAGACGACGTGCTCTTGGTTGGAGATGGTCAGCTATGCGAAGTGGTCAAAGAGCGCTTGAGTCAGGAGTTTCCCATTCAAGATTGGGAGACCGGGAGTTTCGAGTACGTCGGATCCTACATAGAGATTCTCTCCGACATGGTGCGAGTAACCCAAGGCAGCTACGCCGCTACGCGTCTTTTCGAAGTGGAAGTGGAGCGTGATCTGCCTGACCACTATCCCGCCAACGACGTCCAAGTCCACGACAACATGTCATTGGTGGGTGCTTTGTCATGGATGGCCAGCCAAACCAGACCAGACTTGCAAGTCGGTGTCTCCATGAGTCAGCAGCGTCAAAAGGAGCCTTGCTTGGGAGACATCAGGTTCACCAACCAGCTGGCGAAGCGGGCAATGGAGCACAAGGATGAGGGTTTGACCTTCTACCCGATCGACTTGGACGCGGCAGTGCTTCTATGCTACCATGATGCCGGCTGGGCCAATGTTCCGCAGTCTCAGGAAGACCCTTACTACAAGCTCACAGAAGAAGAAGATCTACATGGGACGATCCGCGATGGGCCCTTTGCCAGGAAGGATGCCAAAGCCAAGAAGACGAACTCTTCGATTACCTCACAACTCGGAGGACTTTACGTGTTGGCCAATGCCTCTGTCTTGACCGGCACCCCTTCTCGCGCAAGTGTGCTCGACTGGCGAAGTGGAGCATGTGAAAGGGTGTGTAGGTCAACGTTTTCCGCAGAGACTATGGCATGTTGCACCGCCTCCGAGACCGGCATCTTCATTTCGAAGTTCCTAGAAACCCTCCTCACTGGCAAGTTGGCGAGGACATCTACCAGGTTTGAGATGCGGTTTGTGAGCGACTGTAGGAGCCTCTATGACCATTTGACGCGTGCCGGAGTGCCCCGCGTCCCAACGTGTAAACGTCTTGCTATAGACCTTGCAGGGATCCGAGAAGATCTCAAAGATAGTGGTAGGATAGTGTGGGTGCCTACATGGGCACAACTGTCCGACATCCTCACGAAACCCCTGCGGGCAGAAGGATGGTGGAGAACTTTGAAATCAGAGCTGAAGCTCACCTTCAAAGAAGGGGGGGGAGAAATTGTATAGAAAGACTCGATTTGGAACCAGTGTAAAGCTCCAAGGTTCCGAATCGGGGCAGCCCTCACCTCTCCTGACGAGGCACATGTGTTGGCCCGAATTCGGCAAAAGCGCCGACGAGCTGTGGAGGTCCGCGGGGAGCGGGCTTTTCCGTCTTGGCTTCTAAATTAAACCCTGCAGCCCCTTTGATTCGCGACCGTGGACGGTGATGCAAGGTTTTGGGAGTTGCTTGGGTTGCGGCTCACAGGAATCCGAGCGGGGCACGGTGCCGGGCTTGGCACTAAGATCACAGAGGCATTGCTCCGCGGTCCACGATAGCAACCTCCATGCTTCGTCGGTGTTGCCTGCATGGAGGGCCTGCTCGAAGGCTTGGTGAGGCCAGCATTCGCTGAAGGATTCGTGTATATCCTCCTTAGATCGATCCCTGATTTTGGCCCTAGGGGGGAGCTCAAAACCTGAAAAGTTAATCGTAAGGTTGAGGCAGTAGCCTACGGTGGTATGATCACATAAACCTTCATGGTGCCACAGCTCAGTGGGGAAGATCGAAGGATCGCTCAAACCGTAGTCTATGCGCCGCGTTCGGCCCGGGTTTGTGCAGCATAGCTCCATGGGGAAGGGATCGTCCATGGACCTGAGGGCTCCGGACATCAAGTGATTTTGTATCGAGCCTTCTTCTGAAGTCATGTTCCAATCACCGAACAGAATGTGTGGCCCTCGGAATGCATAGCACGCAGCCGCGAGCTCATCCACCATGAGGTTGGTGGTGGGAGGATCCCCCGAAAACCCGTAAATAGCAACCATGAGGAGAGGTCGGCGGGTGTGTGCAGCCTGGGTTTCCACGAGAATGGCTGCATGGCGAGTCCTCGCAATTTCAGTTGTCAGGCTGACGGGGCGGCACTGAATGCGGCAAGCAACGGCAACCCTGTGCAATCCTGAGTGTGGCTCGGCTGCTGCCAAGACGATTTGCCATCCAAGGGTTCTCCATTCCCTAGCGTATGCTGCCGCACAGCGCTTGGGAATGTCAACTTCTTGAAGGGAAATGATATCGGGATTAAAATCCTTTAAGTGCTGGAGGGTCAAGACTGTTCGTGAGATGCCAGCTCCAGCGAGGTTGCAAGAGGCAACCCTGATCACACCTGCGATTGGAGCTCACGCCCCTGGAGGGCTTGCTTGGCCAATGCAAAGATTTTAAGCGTCTCAGCCTCGGACATAGTATTTTTGCTTGGGTGCTTCAGGCACCAAGTGCGGACCTTGGCAAGATCGGCAAGCTTGCGTTTGCGGCCATTGGCTGCAGTGACAGCTTTGCAAGTTTTATGATTGTTGACACAAGCAAGGTTTTTGAAGCACATCTTACAATTGCCGCAGCGCCACGCTCGTATAAAAGAGATTCGGAGGTCTGGCCGGCCCTTGCGAAACTTTTTTAAAATAGGCCAAAGGAAGCTCTCATATCCCTTGTGCAAAAGGTCAGTGCGCTTAGCAAAGGTTTTGGGGACGGCGGCGTTCCATTTCCTAACTCTGGTGGCCTGGGCGTGGGAAACTCCAACATGGGCTTGTTGCCTAGCCGCCTGATTCTTACGAGCATGTTTAGTACGAAGATGCTCTCGGATTGCTTGGGCAATGATTTTGGGGCTGGCCGCCTCCCCCACAGCCCTGCGGATGCCGCTACGGCACCATTTGCACTTCCAGAACAGACCTTTGTCCTGATCTGTCACTTGCACAACGTACTGCTCGCCACGTTTGGCCAAACCTGGCAAGCCCTCGCCACCATGGTGACGCATGCAGTGGGAGTAGCGCGCAACTGAAAGTTGTTTCTGATTTGCAACTGGGGTGCGAAATGCACAAAGTCTGCATATGTAGTAGCCTTTATGCGGGACGTCCCCAGGGACTTGTGCCTTGTAGCGCTTGCGCTTGCCTGTGGTGGCTTGGCTGCTGCCGGCTGAAAAGGTTTCCTCATCAAGAAAATCGGCATCGGCAGCATTACACGTGGAGCCCTGACAAACCTTAGAATCAAGAAGGGCCTGGGATGAAGCAGGCGGCTGCGAGGTGGGAGCATGGGTCCACACCGTGCCGGTTTGGGATTGGGTATCGCCATCAAGCTGCTGCAAGACTGAGGCTGCATCAGGGTGTCTGGCGGAGGGCTTGCTGGTTTTGCCCGTGAGCCTGGTGCGGGCGCTGAACTGTTGCGAGGATGAGCTAGCTGTCCACTTGGAACGACCAGAGAACCCCGAAAATTCAGAACCACCCCCTACAAGGAAACCCCCATTGGGATCGGTGTCAATGGATCGGAGGGCTTCGGGGTATTGCTTCGCATCTCCCTTAGGGGCTAGGAAGTCAAAATGTCCCGAGGTGTGATATATTGCAATGGTGCGATGGGCCTTTGCCTTGCGGTGATAAGCCGCTACCTGAAATGATGGATCTTCCGGTACAACAACGGCCCGGAGGTCGTAGATCCTGCACAAGGCACGAAGTTCTATCTCACCGGTCCACTTGCCCGGTTGGGCGACCAAATCGAGATATTCGGTCCAAGTGTCAAGTTTTTGATCCTCGGGTCCCTTTTGGCCTGCCGCCTTCCACTGCGCCTCATAAAGTTCACTGTGACGTTTAAGATGAGCAACGGCGCTGGCGCGGAGTTCATGGGGATGAATATCAATCTTAGATTTTGAGATCCACAACAGAGCAGCAGCCATGGTGTGAAAAAGACAATCCCCATCAGCCGGCTGTGCTTTGAGTTCGGTGCCTTCCGGCACCGGTCGATGCTCCTTTCGCTGCTTCTTAACCGTCGCCGGGTCAGGCGGCTTGCGAGAAGTGTTCTGCGCATCACCAGTGACATCCATAGGTTCCTCATTGGAGGCTTGCGACACGGGAATAACCTGTGGAGCGAACACATCGGTACTCTCGACAAAGGGCACATCACCCCCTTTCAGTTGGCGCCGCTGGCTCGGTTGTTGCCTGGGAGGGGCAATCTTGGCCCAGCAAGTGAAGAGCTGTTTTGCCCCATTTTCAGTGATCTCAATGGGGACAGCGACAAGGTCACACTCTGGGCCTCGGCGGCAAGATGCACGAAAAACGAAGCTTTTCCACTTGCCCCGTTGGAGCTGGCGGAACATCGTGACATCAGCAAAATGCTCTTGGAGGAGTGCCGCGACTTGCTGAAGATCCCACTCCCTTGGGCAATGTTCCAGCATCCACACCCTCTTGACTGCAGAAGTGGCATCATTGGCACGTCGCCAACCAAGGGACCCTTCACGACACACGAGGCCGAGCTCTCCCCTGGATCGTACCGCGCGGGTGAGGTATTCCTGATGTGGCTCGGTCTTACTCAGGCGAGGTATCCATTCAACGTGCTGATTGGCAGTTTGGTCACGGGGCTGCTGCAGGAAAACTCCAAGGTCACCTGATCGCGAAAGTAGCTGCGCCACATCGGCCTGAGCAACTCTGATGGCCCCAAAAATTTGGCGCTTGCCACCTTTAAGCTTTTCTTCGGACCAACCAAAGCAATCAATGCACAAAATGTGTTGCCCGGCGGTCCACTGCGCAATGTGCTTTTGAGGCTTTGCAAGAAAGTCCTGCCACACTTTCGGTGTAGTAAAATCCTGGGGCACCTTGCAAAATAGAACCGCGGTCTTCTTAGGCGTCACAGCCTGTGGCTTGGCAGAAAACCCTGTAGGTGTGGGTGCCTTGAGTCCTGCCGATGCCGAGTAGAAGACGAAGGCATCCATAAAGCACAGTCGGAGGTCCGATTGACCCGGGACCTTTTGCACTTTGAGCTCTTTAGCGAGGTTGTCCGGCTTATCAAAGTCGCGCGCCAAAGCAATGAGCATGATGGCATGTGATTTGGTGGTGCCAGCAAGGATGGTGCGAGCAGTTTGGAAATCCCTGCCCGGGCACAGTATAACTCCACGAAAGGTCTCACCATCTTTCACGTTGGCAAGATTACGTGCTAGGTTAGAGAATGAACTAAGGGGGTCCGACCAGTCCTGTTGGCGCAAGACAAAGGGATCATCCTTACTGGGTGGGCCCGCCGGCTTTCTCGCAACCTTAGTCCAGCCCTCAGCCTTGTCGGGCGACGTGGCTGGGTTCGGCACCTGTGATTTGCCAGCCCCGGTGGGTCGCGGGTTGGCTGCACTTTGCTTGCTCTTGCCTTTGCCTTTAGCCTTGCCCTTGTCAGCAGGGGAAGCAGGCATATGGGTGGGAGCACCTGGAGTCTCGGGCGTCGGCACAACGGCTCCAGCACCTTTGCCTTTCTTGCGTGGGGGCTTGGCAGTTGGATTGGCACCCTCAGCACCTGAGACATTGGGGCCTGAAGGCGAGAAAAGACCCCCAAACTTCATTCCCTTTAGCGCCTCCTGCAAAGCCTGCTGGACAGCTGCCCTGATAAAATTTTGGAGCTGTGCTGTGAATCCCGGTCCAAGCAGGTTGCCCAAGTCAAACTGGGTATCAGGGCCGGGGTTGGATGCTTCTCCAACACGGGCAGCGTTAAGATAATTGTGACAAAACGTCAGCAACAGCGAGCGGAAGTTTGTGCACAAGTGGCCGATGCCAGCGAAACAAGCTCCTAGTTTGTCAAAGGCAGCACAACCAACAGAGCAAAAGCAGCTGAACTTCATCCGACTAGGGTTCTGTGGAAGAGCTCTCACTTCGTTGTGACGGTGACATGTGCTGTGGCTCAGCTTTGAGGCTTGAGCATGAGTCAAATCACGATTCTCAGAGTAGACTTGTAAAGATTGTCAGCTTTGAGAGATCACTTAACACGTTGCTTTCGGAGTGTGAAAAGGTTAGCTGCCGCGCCGCATGGTTCTGAACCCTTGAGCCTACCCAGAGCCCAAAGCTCTTCAGGGTATGAGCCCAAAACCGTTGATGCCGACTTCGTTGGAAGGCGAAGGGGATGGACCTGACTACGGTGCAGTTGCTGCTCCTAGTGCTGTTGGCCAGAGAGAGAGTTTGGTCAATGGCGGGGGTGTTTCAATGGTTGGCGTGCCTGCAGAGAGTGCTGTGATCAGTGAGGGACA